CTCTCTCTCTCTCTCTCTGCCTCTCCTTTCTCTATGTAACTCTGAATTTCGAGTAAATAAATAAATCTTTTATAAATAAATCTTTTATAAAAAAACCTTTTATAAAAAAGAAACTTAAGAAAGCAGATTTCAAAAAACTTGTAGACAATTGGAATTAAAAGTGTGAAGCTATCTTGTACAATTAACAATTTTTTTTTCTGCCTTATTTAATCATCGTGCATAGTAAGGTTAAAAAGCACTGTTGTGATGTTCTTCTCTGACCTGTTAGCAAACTGAGGGTCAAGGATTCCAGTGAGTTTCTGGTTTCTGTTGGAGTTTATTTGGGCTGTTCTAACAGCGTATCTTAGTCTAAGTGATTCATAAATAACTTGTTCCAAGACCAAATGCCCACATTTGTGCCTGGCAAGGGTGTGCTCCTCGCGGATGGCACCATACACTTGTCATGTCACAATATGGCGGAAGGCAGCTACTGCGTTCTGGTTCTTTTATAAGGAGGGGCAAATCCTATTCATTAGGACAGAGTCCTCATCACTTAGTCACTTCCCAAAGATCTCATCTCTCTCATTACCACCACATTAGAAATTAAGTTGCAACTTCAGAATTTTGGGGGGACTTCAGCTTTCAGACCATAGCACTTGCCCAAGTCTTATGGTTGGTAAAAGATGTGGCTGGTTCCGTAATGAAATGTCCAGTCTTTCTACTTTAACATCCTCTTTTCCAGAACATGTATTCACCATCATCATAGCGATGATCTTACTACAGGGTAAATACTTAAGATTAGCAGCAGAACAGTGAGAAAATGCTGTGGGCTCAAAGGAAGTAGGCAGGGGTAACTAGACTGTTCAGTTGTGGGACGAATTCAGGATATGAGCACTACTAGGATTGGATTTTTGTGGTTTGTTTTTTGTTTTTAGATTTTATTTAAGGTACACAAATTTCATGTATTTCATATATACAGGTTTAGGAACTTAGTGATACATTCCACCCTACCCTCCCTCCTGCCCATGTGCCTACTCTTCCTCCTCCTCCCTTTCCTATTCCACTCGTCAATTTTTACAAATATCTATTTTCAATTTACTTTATGGTCATAAAATTAACCCTACACTAAGAGTTCAAGTAGTAGAAAAAAAAAAAACACTGTTGCTCACAGTAGAGACAGGGCTGTAAAACATCATAGAATCTCAAAAGTTGCATTCCAATACATTATATTTTAGGTACTCTATTAGTTACCACAGATCAGGGAAGAAATATGGTACCCATCTTCTTGGGCCTGGCTTATTTCACTAAGTATAATGGCTTCCAGTACTGTCCATTTTGTTGAAAAAGAATTTCCTTTATTTTTACAGCTAAGTGGTCTTCCATAGTATGTGTGTATAAAAAAAATCATAATTTCTTTACCACTCATTAGTTGATGAACATTTGGGTTGATTCTGTATCTTAGCTCTTGTGAACTCAGCTGCAATGAACATGAGGGTACAGATAACTCTTTCATATGCTGATTTCATTTTGTTTGGGTAAATTCCCAGGAGTGGGATTGCTGGGTCATATGGTAGATCTATTTTCAGATTTCTGAGGTATCTCCATACTGTCTTCCACAATGGCTGCACCAGTTTACATTACCATCAACAGTGGATTAGGGTACCTTTTATCCCACATTCTCACCAGCATTTACTGTTTACTGATTTCTTTGAGACTGATTCTAACTGGGGTGAGGTGAAACTTCACTGTGGTTTTGACTTGCATTTCCCTGATGGCTAATGGTCCTGATGGTCCTGAGCATTTTACATTTTTTCTTCTTTTTTTTTTTTTTTTTGCCATTTGAATTTCCTCCTTTGAAAATGCCCACTCAGATCCTTAGCCTGTGTCTTAACTGTATTGTTGTTGTTGAGTTCCTGGAGCGTTTTATAGATTCTGGATATTAATCTTTTATCAGCTGCATAGTTTGCAAATATTTTTTCGCATTCTCTCAGTTGCCTCTTTGCTTTGCTGTTTGTTTTGCAGTACAGAAGCTTCTCAGCTTGATGTAATCCCATTTGTCAGTTTTGTTTTGATTGCCTGTCCTTCTGGGGTCATTTCCAAGAAGTTTTTGCCTACACAAATGTCTTGCAGAGTTTCCCCAATGTTTTCTAGTAATTTGATAGTATCAGGTCATAGATTTAAGTCTTTGATTTTTGAGTGGATTTTTGTTTTGGTTATAAGGTAAGGATCTTTTTCATACTTATGCATGTGGAGACCCAATTTTCCCAGCACCATTTGTTGAAGAGGTTTTCCTTGCTTCAGGGAATGATTTTAGGTCCTTTATCAAAGATAAGTTGATTGTAGATGTGTGGGTTGATTTCTGGAATTTCTACTTTGTTCCATTGGTCCTAACATTTATTTTTGTGCCAGTACCAGGCTGTTTTGATGATAATTGCCCTGTAGTATGTTTTAAATCTGATACTGAGATATCTCCAGCTTTGTTTTTCAGTTTTTTTTTATGTATTATTTTGAGAGATAGAGTTACAGAGATGGGGAGTGGAGACAGAAAGAAAGGTCTTCTCTCCACTGGGTCACTCCATAAATGGCCAAAACATCTGGAGCTGGGCTGATCCGAAGCCAGGAGCTTCTCCTGGGTCTCCCATGCAGGTGCAGGGGGCCACATGCTTGGGCCATCTTCCACTGCTTTCCCAGCCCATAGCAAAGATCTGGCTCAGAAGAGGAACAGCTGGGACTAGAACCATTACCCATATGGCATTTATGGCATGCTGGTACTGCAGGGGGAGGCTTAGCCCACTATACCACAGTGCTACCCCCCACTCCTGCTCTGTTTTTGTTGTATAAGATCTCTTCAGCTATTTGGAGTCTCTTGTGTTTCCATATTAATTTTAGAATTGTTTTTTTTTTCTTTATATACAGAAGATCAGTTTAGCATACATTAAGTAAGGATTTCAACAGTTTGCTCCCACACAGAAACGTAAAGTGAAAAATACTGTTTGAGTACTAGTTATAGCATTAAATCTCAATGTACAGCACACTAAGGACAGAGATCCTACATGAGGAGTAAGTGCACAGTGACTCCTGTTGTTGACTTAACAAATTGACACTCTTGTTTATGGCATCAGTAATCACCCTAGGCCCTTGTCATGAGCTGCCAAGGCTATGGAAGCCCCCTGAGTTCACTGACTCTGATCATATTTAGACAAGGCCATGGTCAAAGTGGAAGTTCTCTCCTCCCTTCAGAGAAAGGTGCCTCCTTCTTTGATGACCTGTTCTTTCCACTGGGATCTCACTCACAGAGATCTTTCATTTAGGGTTTTTTTTCCCCAGAGTGTCTTGGCTTTCCATGCCTGAAATACTCTCATGGGCATTTCAGCCGGATCTGCATGCCTTAAGGGCTGATTCTGAGGCCAGAGTGCTATTTAGGACATCTGCCATTCTATGGGTCTGCTGTGTATCTCACTTCCCATGTTGGATCGTTCTCTCCCTTTTTGATTCTATCAGCTAGTATTTGCAGACACTAGTCTTGTTTATGTGATCCCTTTGGTTCTTAGTCCTATCATTATGATCAATTGTGAACAGAAATTGATCACCGGGACTAGTGAGATGGCATTGGTACATGCCACCTTGATGGGATTGAAATGGAATCCCCTGGTATGTTTCTAACTCTACCATTTGAGGTAAGTCAGCTTGAGCATGTCCCAAACTGTACATCTCTTCCCTCTCTTATTCCCACTCTTATATTTAACAGTGATCACTTTTCAGTTAAGTTTCAGCACTTAAGAATTGTGTATTGATTACAGTATTCAACCAAAAGTATTAAGTAGAACAAACAAAAAAAATACTAAGAGGGATAACGTATTAAGTTGTTCATGAACAGTCAGGGCGAGGGCTGATCAAGTCACCGTTTCTCCTAGTGTTCATTTCACTTTAACAGGTTTCCTTTTTGGTGTTCAGTTAGGTGTCACCTATCAGGGAGAACAAGTGGTATTTGTCCCTTTGGGATTGGCTTATTTCACTCAGCATAATGTTTTCCAAATTCCTAACAGAGATCACTTTTCAGTTAAAATTTAAACCCCTAAGAATAATTGTGTGTTAATTACAGAGTTCAACCAATGGTACTAGAACAAAAAAAAATACTAAAATGGATAAAGTATTACATTGCACATCAACCATCAGGACAAGAGCTGATCAAGTCACTGTTTCTCATAGTGTCCATTTCACTTCAACAGGTTTCCCCTTTGGTGCTCAGTTAGTTGTCACCGATCAGGGAGAACATATGATATTTGTCCCTTTGGGACTGGCTTAATTCACTCAGCATGATGTTTTCCAAATTCCTCCATCTTGTTGTAAATGACCAGGTTTCGTTGTTTTTGACTGCTGTATAGTATTCTATAGAGTACATGTCCCATAATTTCTTTATCCAGTCTACTGTTGATGGGCATTTGGGTTGGTTCCAGGTCTTAGCTATTGTGAATTGAGCGGCAATAAACATTAATGTGCAGACAGCTTTTTTGTTTGCCAATTTCATTTCCTTTGGGTAAATTCCAAGGAGTGGGATGGCTGGGTTGAATGGTAGGGTTATATTCAGAATTGTTTTTTCTAGATCTGAAAAGAATGCCGTTGGTGTTCTTTTTTTTCTTTTCAACTTTTATTTAATAAATATAAATTTCCAAAGTACAACTTTTGAATTATAGCAGCTTTTCCCCCCATAACTCCCTCCCACCCACAACCATCCCATCTCCTACTTCCTCTCCCATCTCATTCTTCATCATGATTCATTTTCAATAATCTTTATATGTGGAAGATCAACTTAGTATATACTAAGTAAAGATTTCAACAGAGTTCACCCACAAAGACACACAAAGTATAGAGTACTATTTGAGTAGCAGTTTTACCATTAATTCTCTTAGTACAACACATTAAGGACAGAGGTCTTACATGGGGAGCAGGTGCACAGTGACTCCCATTGTTGATTTAACAATTGACACTCTTATTTATGACATCAGTAATCACCCGAGGCTCTTGTCATGAGCTGCCAAGGATATGGAAGCCTCTTGAGCTCACAAACTCCGATCTTATTTAGACAAGGCCATATTCATCAGAGAAAGGTACCTCTTTCTTTGATGGCCCATTCTTTCTGCTGGGATCTCACTCACACAGAGCTTTCATTTAGGTCATTTTTTTTTTTTTGCCACAATGTCTTGGTTTTCCATGACTGCAAAACTCTCATGGGCTTTTTAGCCAGATCCAAATGCCTTAAGGCAAGGGCTGATTCTGAGGCCAGAGTGAGGTTTAGGACATCTGCCATTCTATGAGTCTGCTGTGTATCCTGCTTCCCATGTAGGATCATTCTCTCCTTTTTAATTCTATCAATTATTTGCAGACACTGGTCTTATTTATGTAATCCCTTTGGCACTTAATCCTATCTTTTTGATCAATTATGACTTAAACTGATCATTTTAACAAGTAAGATGGCATTTGGTACATGTCACCTTGATGGGATTGAATTGGAATCCCCTGGTACATTTCTAGCCCTACCATTAGGGGTAAGTCCAGTGAAATGGATACTATGAGAAACAATGACTTGATCAGCCCTTGTCCTGACTGTCTAGGAACAACTTACTATTTTATTAATTTTAGTGGTTTTTTTTGTTCTCCTTAATACTCTTTAATTAATGCATAATTATTCTTAGTCATTTAAATTTAACTGAAAAGTGATCCCTGTTAAATATAAGAGTGGGAATAAGATAGGGAGATGTACAGTTCGGCACATGCTCACTCGGACTTACCCCAATGGTAGAGCTAGAAACGTTGGTATTCTTGTTGGAACTGTGTTGAATTTGTAAATTGCTTTCAGTAGTATGAACATCAATTTCAGTAATTTGGGTGTTAATTCTTCTAGTCCATGAACCTGGAAGATTTTTCCATTTTTTGTGTCTTTTTTTTTTTTTTTGTCAGGCAGAGTAGACAGAGAAACAGAGAGAAAGGTCTTCCTTTGCTGTTGGTTCACCCTCCAATGGCCGCTGGGCCAGTGCACTGCGGCTGGCGCACCGCGCTGATCTGATGGCAGGAGCCAGGTACTTATCCTGGTCTCCCATGGGGTGCAGGGCCCAAGTACTTGGGCCATCCTCCACTGCACTCCCTGGCCACAGCAGAGAGCTGGACTGGAAGAGGGGCAACCAGGACAGAATCCGGCACCCCGACTGGGACTAGAACCTGGTGTGCCAGCGCCGCAAGGCGGAGGATTAGCCTAGTGAGCCGCGGCACTGGCCATGTCTTCTTCTTCTTTTTTTTTTTTTTTTAATGTTTTGTAACTTTCATTGTGGAGATCTTTGACTTCCTTGGTTAAATTTATTCCAAGATATTTAACTTTTTGTAGCTATTATGAATGGGATTGGTCTTACAAGTTCTTTCTCAGCCATGGCATTGTCTGTGTATACAAAGGGTATTGATTTGTTTGGTAAATTAGCAGGATATAAAATTAACAAACACTTTTATGAGTTCCAGTAGCCTCTTAGTGGGTCTTTTGGTTCCCCTATATATACATTCATATCATCTGCAAATAGGGATAGTTTGACTGCCTCCTTTCCAATTTGTATCCTTTTGATATCTTTTTGTTGGCTGATGGCTCTGGCTAAAACTTCCGGGACTATATTGGGTGACAATGGTGACAGTAGGATTGGTCTTGATAGAATCTTGGAAGACATAATAAAGCCAATATAGCATTAGTAAATAATGGATCTATCAGCCAAAACTGTGAGATATTTTTACATGTAATGACAAGGCATTAGCTGGCATTGACCTAATGATCAAAATGCCTAAGTAGGCAAGATGGCGAAATAGGAAGGGAGCACACTGATAGTCTGGGGAGAGATAGTTTAATAAAAGTGGAGATACTGCAGGTTCAAGGAAGAGTAGGGGAGGAAACAGCAGAAGAAACTCTTCCGGAACACGTGACTCACAGCGGACCTGCGTGGAGAGCGTGGGAGCCCACAGTTCGGGACACCAGCGGCAGACTCAACACACCAGCGCTGGAACGCGAGGTGAGCCGAACCTCAATAGCCCGAGACACCGGCAGGCAAGCGGAGAGAGGAGACTAGAGGGAACGACCCCCGGGGGGGGAAGTTCGCCAGGCTAGCTGGAAGAGAGAGAGAGAGAGAGAAAAAAAAAGGGTGACTGGTACGGACACGGGTTTCTCTCCGCTCACCTCTCAAGGGCGAGCAAGACAAAGAGCAGGTGCCATCTTGGACATACGTCATAAGCAGAGCGACCTCAGGTCTGCACCGGCCCTGACACTAGCAGAAAAACCTGACTCTGGGCGGGGCGAATTAACAGGAGATTAGGACCTAGTAAATTTGTGGTGTTACTGAACTGAGACTGTGAAAAAAGAGACGGTGGGGGAGAGAACTCACGGAATTCACGTGAGCACTCTCCAGAGACGCTACAATTCCGTAACTTTGGCAACCCAGTGGGAGACTGAAGGAGAATTTGAGCCCACTCTGAGGGCCGAACAGATTCCCTGTGGGGTCCTTGGGAAAGAGCTTCCGATCTCTGGCTCCTGTGGGTATATCATTTGCCTGCTAACTACCTCCAACTTCGTTCAGCTGTGCGGAATTACTTCCCTTTTGAATCAAAAAAAAAGAGAGAGAGAGAGAGAGATTTACCACGCCTAACCTGGGAGTGTCACCTTTGGCACACCAAACAGAGCCCTCAGGCCACACCCATCTCAAGCCCTAAGGCTCCATCAAAAACAGATAGTCCACTTAATCTAGAGTCATAGTATAACAAGAAAAAGCACCACAGTGAAGAAACCAAATATCTCCAATATGCCAAATAACAAACGCAAAAACCGAGGTAATAAAAACAAGGAAGTCACCATGACGCCCTCAAATGAAAAAGACACCCCAATTCAAGATTATGAAGATGATGACATAGAAGAAATGCAAGAAGCAGATCTCAAAAAATTGATAAGAACATTAAGAAGTTCTCAAAAACAAATTCTTGAACTACAGAAATCCTTAATGGACAAGATAGAAAATCTCTCTCGTGAAAATGAAATATTAAGGAGGAATCAAAATGAAACGAAACAACTAGTACAACAGGAAACTGTGATAGTGACTGAAGTGAAGAATTCAATAGATCAAATGAAAAACACAATAGAGAGCCTTACAAACAGAATGGGTGAAGCAGAAGAGAGAATATCGGACTTAGAAGACAGAGAACAGGAAAGGATACAGTCAGACCAAAGAAAAGAAGAGGAAATTAGAAATCTAAAACATATTGTCAGGAATCTTCAGGATACTATTAAAAAACCCAACATTCGGGTTCTAGGAGTTCCTGAAGGCATGGAGAGGGAGAAAGGATTAGAAGGCCTTTTTAGTGAGATATTAGCAGAAAATTTCCCAGGTTTGGAGAAGGACAGAGAAATACTAGTACAGGAAGCTCACAGAACCCCTAATAAACACGACCAAAAGAGATCCTCACCACGACACGTTGTAATTAAACTCTCCACAGTGAAACATAAAGAAAAGATCCTAAAATGTGCAAGAGAGAAACGTCAGATTACTCTCAGAGGATCTCCAATCAGACTCACAGCTGACGTCTCATCAGAAACTCTAAAAGCTAGGAGGGAATGGCGAGATATAGCCCAGGTACTAAGAGAGAACAACTGCCAGCCCAGAATATTATATCCTGCAAAGCTATCATTTGTGAATGAAGGTGAAATAAAGACTTTTCATAGCAAAGAGAAATTGAAAGAATTTGTTGCCACTCGTCCAGCCCTGCAAAAGATGCTTAAAGATGTGTTACACACAGAAACACAGAAACACGGTCATCAATATGAAAGAAGGTAAAGGAAGGAAACCAAGGAAGGAAACCTCACAGCAAAAGATCACAGGGAATTCAAAGCATATATTAGAACTTATCTTTGGCAAATTGCAGGGCAAAGTTACCACTTATCATTAGTCACATTGAACGTGAATGGCCTGAACTGTCCAGTTAAAAGACACTGATTGGCTGATTGGGTTAAAAAACAAAACCCATCTATTTGCTGCTTACAAGAAACACATCTTCCAACAAAGAT